AGACTGCTGATCTTACTGATGCCAACTTAGAGGGAGCTAATCTTGAAGGAGCCAATTTGAAGGTAAGAGATCCTTAAGCATGTCGTTTGCAAATGGATTGCTTCAGCACGCATATGTCATTTTATCTATATGAAGTTACCATTTGACACCGGAACAAAACATACCAGCACTCCATAACTCATTATAACAATTTTGGTGTGCGATAACTTATTGACACAGCATTTTATTGTGATATGTTCATTGTAATTAACATGTTCTTCAGGGTGCGAAATTAAGCAATGCAAATCTGAAGGGTGCAAACCTCCAAAGGGCTTATTTACGACATGTTAATCTTCGAGATACGGTAAGTAAATAAGTTGTAGTGTGCAATTTGCATGGTGGTGTTTCATATAAAACTTTCAGACTGCATCATGGATGCGGATCAAATCGAAAGAGTTTGACATTTGTTATACTTTCCAGATACCTTGCTGGAATTCTAGTGGAGTTCCATCTTACACTTGCAGATCAAATCAAAAGATTTTCACATTCTTTATACTACTGTTTTTGTCTCTTTTGTCAGCATTTGGAGGGTGCAAAGCTTGATGGAGCAAACTTGCTGGGAGCAATCAGATGATGATGGGACAAGAACTAGCAGTTTGTTAGATTCCTACCTATACATGTTGAACATGGGTATCATCTTCAGAGTTTTTTAATGCATTTCTTCAAGTATCTTTAGAGATTATCTCTATGCTCCTGTTTCGGGGCATATATTTGTACACAGTTCCATATTGTATCCGTTTAATCATTTTTTATGTTATTCTTGGAATTTTGTTAATATCCGGTGTTGATGTGGATGGTATAAATTTATTGATTTTTCATGCCCATACAATGCAAACGAAATGAAAGAAAATTGGCACTTGGTTTAATTTGTCCTACTAAAATGGTACCGGCAACAGGAATACACAACTACACAATGGTATGTCGGCAAGCAACTATTGTCCACGTATCTTGATAATATCCCCGAACATTGAACCTTATGTGCACCGGATCGGTTCATCGACTTTTTAAACAAGAAAGACCTGTCGGGGAAATAACAAAAGGAACAGGTCGGTGTGTTGTCAGATATTGGATTGCCATTAAAATGGTCCCGGCAACAGTGTAACAACTCCTAATATTTTGTCGGCAAGCGACTTTGGCCTCACACGTTTCGCGTCGAAAAGCGATCAACCCCCTATCTTGTTCATAGGAGATAAGTCCAAAGTCTCACGTAAAGCAGGTGAGGCAGAAGACAAGTGGGCCCATCTGGGTGGGTGGATTTACAGGTTTGATTGGCAACGGTTGGTCTAGATCATATCATCAGTTTTGACAACACAATGACACGTGTAAGATCCACGTCACTTGTTGCCAAATTCGGCACCATCAAAATCCGTGTCATAGATTGTCCCCCTTCCTACTGAGTGCCCAAGTGGCATTCATCAAGTTTATAGGACATATAATCAAAACATAATTTGTTTTTAGTTTGACATAATTTGTTTTAAATTGAATTACTTTTTAGAGATATATAGTATGAATTATGGACGGTGGGTGGACCCACCGAATTAAAAGTATCTATTGAATTGGAGAAATTGATATTCAAATTTCTTCCAACAAGTAGATATCTCTTGTATTCATATTTTTGATTCTTTATAGCTTTATTAAAGTGGTATGGAGAGAAGATTATTTTTTGTTGGTTTCCACTCACCATAAGAAAAGGAAGAAATACATAACCTTCTAATTTTATTTTTTTGTATCTATTTTTTTTAAACTTTAATAATAGAATGATTATTATACAATTATCATTATAAGATTCCAAATCAAATACTTCCATATATTTTGAAGTTGTACCATTATGATTAATACATAGACGAATACAAAGTCAATGTATAGGATCGTCACCATAATTAAAACAGAAAATAACTTCAGTGACCAAAAATGCTTTATAATATACGATTTTAACCAACTTTTTTTGGATTTACCAAAATGACCAACTAAATCGCAATGCGATCGATAATTCGCAACGCGATCTCCGGTATCGCAAATCAGTTTCCAGATTCGCAACGCGAACTTCGACTATCGCATTGCGATTTACATATTCGCATTGCGATAGTCCAAGTTCGAGTTGCGATTTATTCCAAGTTCGTTGCGATAGTCGAAGTTCACGTTGCGATAGTCGAAGTTCGCGTTGCGATTTATTCCAAATTCGTTGCGATAGTATTCGCGCGGACGTGTCGAAGACACGTATTACCACGACCACGACCACGACCCGAGACGAGACGAGACGAGAGCGGCGGCGGCACGCGAGAGTCCCCCCAGTTCTCTATCACTCAACAAGGAAATGGGAAAGCCAAGCCTTAAATACCATTCCCAATAGTGTTTCCAATACTATGCGGGATTGAGCATTACCAACACTTGTTTCCAATACTATGTGGGATTGAGCCTTAAATAGTGATATTATTTTTGAATGTTTTGCTTAAAATTGTAATAATCGCGATTGATTGTAGATTGACTTTTAATTATGACATATTTAATCGTATAATACTAATGCAATTAGTTGCTGATTCAGTTGTTTTAAGGTGCATGATTGTTAATTGTTTCCTGAATAATCACATTGTATTGGAAACAAGTGTTGATAATGCTCAATTCCACATAGTATTGGAAACACTATTGGGAATAGTATTGGAAACACTATTGGGAATGATATTTAAGGCTTGGCTTTCCCACTTCCTTGTTGAGTGATAGAGAACAAGGGGAACTCTTGCGCGCCGCCGCCGCCACCGTCAGTCTCGTCTCGGGTCAGGTCAGGTCGTGGTCGTGGTAATACGTGTCTTCGACACGTCCGCGCGAATACTATCTTTTTAGAGAAAATTCTTAAGAAACAAATGCAATACCACTAATCGCAACGAATTTAGAATAAATCGTAACGCGAACTTGGACTATCGCAATGCGAATATGTAAGTTGCAATGCGATAGTCCAAGTTCGCATTGCGATTTACATATTCGCATTGCGATAATCCAAGTTCGCATTGCGATAGTCCAAGTTCGCATTGCGATAGTCGAAGTTCGCGTTGCGAATCTGGAAACTGATTTGCGATACCGGAGATCGTGTTGCGAATTATCAATCGAATTGCGATTTAGTTGGTCATTTTGGCAAATCCAAAAAAAAATAGTTAAAATCGTATATTATAAGGCATTTTTGGTCAATGAGATTAATTTCTCTAATTAAAACTAAGGGTAAACTACGTCAATGGCACTAATGTTAGGGTAAGTATTGTTACTTACGTTTAAAAAGTCACAAATCGATCGTTAATGTTATTATTTGTTACAAAATGATCACTCGATGTTAACATTCATTAATAGTGTGACAGAAAACATAATTGGACCGTTATGTGCTGAGTTGGATCGTTGACCGTCACAGCTAAACCATTTTTGACCGGCTCTTCTTCTTCTTCACTTTTCTTCTTTTTCACTCGAAGCATTGACATTCGAATTGCAATCACTGGTCCTGGCTCACTAGACTGTCCATTGCTAGCAGTGGTGATAACAGAGTCGGAGTCAAGAATGTTCACTTCATCACTTCGTTTAATCTTCACGAGATCTCGATTCGAAATCAGAATCGTAAAACTAAATGAATGGTTTCTTGCATTGAGTTCATGTGTCAAGTTCATCTTGATCTTGATCCCATTAGGCATCCATACAACACAATTTTGCAAACATAATGTCTTGGACAACTCCACCATTGTCGTGTACAAAATGGTATGTCGATCCAATGATTTTCGGATTTCTCGAGTTAGCATTCGGACATGTGCACCGATCTCATTCTGTTTAGTTATCATATCGACTTTTCGGTCGAGGCCCCGGGCCTTTTTCTACAGCATAAGCTCCCTCACCTTGACCTTGAGAAGCAAAGGAACGAGGGTAATAAGCGTAATGGCGATGGCGCACGAGACCAACGTCGTGAGAATCTTGAACACGGTGAGAGCCACTCGTGAGTTAAAACGGATGTGGACCGTAGGTTCAGCCATTGAGCAGGTGAGTCAACCCGCAGAGCACTATGAAGGCAATGAACTGAAAAAGGACCCATTTGAACGGCACACTCAAGCAGTGAAAAAGTAAGGCAACTCAACAGGGATCGAGAAATACGCGACAGCGATTAAGAAATCACTCACTCTTTGAGTCTTTAAGATGCCTTCGGTGCTCCAAAAACTCCCCTCGTCGTCGCAACTACACCGGGGAAAGTGGTCGGCGGCAACAACGAACGCTAATAACATAAGCGAAGAAATCAACAAACAGGGAGTTAAAGCTAACGCCTTTAACCGGGAGCTAAAACGATGAGAAGAAAAGTGAAGAGAAAGAAAAAGAAAAAAAAAAAAGAAGAGGAGTCGGTCAAAACGGTCCAGTTGTGTTGGTCAATGATTCGAGTGTGTTTTTCATCATACTTATTAATAGTTATTAACGTTGAGTTATTATTTTATAACAAACGATAATATTATTAATTGATTTATAATTTTTTAAATATCAATGATAAAAATGAATATTTACCTTAATATTAATAACACATAATTTATCCTAAAATTAATTAATACATCAAAACTCACAGATAATTAAAATAAATAAAAAATAAATATAATGGAGGACACACATTGTGCACGATGTATCATAAATTTGGACGTTGAAAGTTCGTGACTTGAAAATTTGCCAATACTGAACACCTATACACATATTTAATTATTAAGTAATATATTTTTTTAAAAGAATATATTATTTTAAATATTTGATAAATTCTAATAAATAATAATTTCTAAAAATAAACACGTTGCAAAACGAGGACCCACATCCTGTTGGGGATGCGGAAAGGGCATGAAAGTAATTTGAGTTGTAGACAAAGATAATCTTCAATAATGAAGAGAAAATTATCTTTCTAGCGCCACTGATGAAGTAAACCCCCCTCCCCGCCCGCCCGCCTGCCTTAATTTGCCTATAAATAGGAACCAAAATCGTTAAACTTATTCACACTCAAATTCAAAGTAATCGAAGTTGAAAAGAAAAGAAAACCAATCTCCAACAATGTCGGAATCATGCACAAGATCGGTGAAACCCTTCACATGGTTGACAAGAAGAGGAAGAGAAGCACCAGGGAGGAGGTCACCATGAAGGCGGCCAGGGCCAAGCCTACACATATGGCGGCGGCGAGCACAAGGGAGAAGGTCATTATGGCACGGGCATGACCGGAACAGAATACAAGGGAGAGACCGGTCATGGCCATGGTTATGGCACGGGCATGACCGAACAGAATACAAGGGAGACCGGTCATGACCATGGTTATGCACGGGCATGACAGGGGCAACGTACATGGGAGAGGCTGGTCAAGGCCATGCCTATGGCGAGCACAAAGAAGGCTTAATGGATAGATCAAGGACAAGATCCATGGCGACGGTACCACGGACATGGTCAGGAGGGCGAGAAGAGAAGAAGGAGAAGAAGAGGCATGAAGGTGGTCATGACAGCAGCAGCGACAGTGATTAGACCTTCACTCCCCGTGGTATCCGGTAATATTTTTTTAACTTTATAGTTTAAACATAAACCTTAAAAAGGGTAGGAAAATACTTGTTTATTTATAGAATTTTGAAATTTTATCTTCGTAATATTTAGGCATTTCCTTGATACAGTATATGTAAGAAGAGAGAATAATATAGAAAATATTGTAAATATAATTCAGTGAATTTTTATAAATTTGAAATTTGATTTTACATTATTTTTAAATATATTTATATGTAATTATATTATTTACTAAAAAATAGTAGGAATATATTTTGATTCCATCTTCTGATAGATTTTTGTGTGTGTTGCAGGTGCATGGGATGAATGGATGGCTTGTGATATGCTTTTACTTTGTGAAAAAAGAAAAAAAAATACATATTATAGTAATACTGTGTGATGTATTTTGGCATGCTATGAATGAAATATGATATGAGAATAAATATTTACTTTATCTAATGTTCTAAATGTTGTAGTATATTGTATACATATGATTGCCATTTTATTACATGAGAAGATGATTAAATAAACTGCTGAATATAAAACGTTTTTAAATAATAGAATATATGTATATACACATAAAAGTCAGTCCAATATGATCATATATATATATAATGAAGTAAATTTCTAGGCCACATTCTAAAATTTTGGCGCAATGATAATAAAACATGGCAAATGACAAATCCGCAACACGTCTACTACTACACGAAAGGGGTATTAAAGTATTTTGACCTGGAGACTCTGATAACCTGGCTTCCTGGCCCAAATAGGGTGTTGGAAAAATTTATTGAATTAAGATATTTTCTACAGTTTTGAAATTATTATTTAAAATAACCTAATCTAAAAAATAATTACTGAACTATTTAAAGATTTTTTCCCAACATTTTATCTCAACCATTTGTCCTGATCAAAATTTCAACTTGACTCCTCCGATTCTCTGCACAATCAATAATCATAACTCAATAAATACAGTGTTTTAATCCAAACAAAATTCTGAACCGCACCTAAAAATAGAGTTTTGAAATCCTATAAACAAAGGGAAGAACCCAAGGAAAGAGGGCATCAGTTTCGAAAGAAACACATAATAATCGAAAGGAAACATAGGGGATATACAAAAATTAGAGTATTTTTCGGAGAGAAAATACCAAAGAGAAAAGAGCCAAGATATTACATTTAAGGCATTTGTTTATTTCACCAAAGTCAAAAGAGTCTTTAAAAGCATCAAAGGTACCCAATCCTCCTAAGATCAAAGTTTTGGTTCAGTTCTTGAGATATCATGAAATCTCATAGCATTTAGAGAGAAGTTTTCTCTCTTTTTTCTTTTGTTTTGAGCTTTGGTCGACTGCCAAATGAAAATAGGGTTAAAAAACCCTTAATGTTCTTTATGTATAAAATATTTTGGGTTAATTGCTTGTTACGGGTTTGAGGTCATGTTTACCTTTTCATTGTAGTCATGCTAAAGTTTTAATGAATTGATTTAATCTCTTTATTTATTTATTTATTTTATTATTTAATGCTATTTTTTATGTTATTTATTGTTGTTTATTTCACGCATGTTTTAATTTCGTCCATATTCAGATATGTTGTTTTACGGTTTTTTAAAATTTTGTTATTATTTCTTTTTTTATTTTATTCATTTTTTATTATTTTTATTTATTTTTTTCATTTTCATTTTCATTTTTTCATTTTTATATCTTTATTTATCTATGTTCTTTATTATTATTATTATTATTATTATTATTATTATTATTATTATTATTATTATTATTATTATATTAACATTTTTTTTATCTAACATATTTTTTTCAGTCGTAATTCCAACCGATCAAAGGTAAGCAATTCGAATTGGGTTTTTTAAATTATAATTTAAATTTTTAATTTTTCGTAATTAAGACAACCGATAAATTAATTGGTACCGAAAGGGCAGTTCAAGGGTGTTAATCCTTCATTGACTGTAACCGACTCCCGAACTCGATATATTTCTGGTAAAACGCAGATCAGGTAAGATGGTGTCCGACCTATCTAAACGTTTTTAAAATGGTCGGTGGCGACTCTAACCCAAATTTTCAAGTCGAAGCCCAATTCCGGGCCCACCCGAAAGACGGTTCCGACAGCTTGGCGACTCCACTGGGAGAGGTAAGTGAGTAAGGCTGAAATTAATTTCTGGTTGTCTTTTTGAGCGAAAATTACAAGTTTAAATTTTAATTTATTTATTTGATTCTTTGATTATTTTTTAAATAAATAGTTATACTGGCGTTTTTTCTCAATGATTTCAGATTTTTTTCACAATTTTCATCTCAATCTCTATACCCGAGCTCTGAACCATTTTTAAGTGGGGGTGAAAATGACGCATTCGTGAGAATTTATTCTCCGCACAGGCTTAGGAAGTAACCTTCGGTATTCATATACCTTATGTCTTCGTGTGAATTTATTCACCGCATAGGCATAAGAGAATATATCTTCTCGAGTTTTGACTTAGTCCACATGAGCATGTAATGAGCTTAGGACTAAGGGTCTGGCAAGCCTAAGGGGGCACTAGCAATGAGAACTCAGGTACCCTTTTTTAGAACCTAAATCGGGAGATTATGAGAATTAGAGCCCACCCTAAAACCTCATTTCAAACCCTAGGCTGTTTTGAGATTATTTCCTACTTTATTTTCTGTTCAAAGTATGTGAACTAGAAATTTATGTGGTTAGGACTTGTTCAAAATCAACTTGTAGGATAAAGATCATGTACGTGTAGGAATAATAAGCATGTGAGGTAGAGATCATGTGGGGTAGGACTTTTTTTTCATTATTGTTCTGATTTACCTCACTAACTATTTTTATTCTTGTTCTCTTTCATTTTATTTACATCATTTGCATCATTCAAAAGAGGCGTTGATCCACTAAAAACGTTTTCGTTAAACGTAAATAATTCACATTAATGGACAAAGGGGTTATAATACAATAGATGAAAAGCTCAGAAGTCCGACGTTGGTAAGAAAAGATGCAGAATGGACCAGGATTTACACCGAGCACACCAAAGGTCAACTTTTTGAGTTGGTAAAGGTTGCAGGGGTAGACGACAAAAAGGTTACTGACCTGGAGAGTCCCTTCAAAGATAATAGGTCATTGTTGACAAATCCAAGAAGTAAACAAGTGAGTTTCAGACAGTTCCCTTCAATGGAGGCTTCCAAAGGCGCTTTCGTTGAAGGTAGGCTCAGCAGAAAGTGAAAACCAAATATGCAACCATTCGAAACTTTGTGGGAAAAGTACAAAAAGCAGCTCAGAGAGGCCAGAACGGTTTGATAGGGTATTCAACCGGCGACAGGTGAAGGCAGAAGATAAGTCAACCTGTAAGAAGTTATTCGGGGTCTAGAAGAATATACCTTCAAAATGTTTTTTTCTCTTAAGACGTAACACTTTTGTCCCCAATAAGGATTATTTATAATAACATACATATTTTTGGATCAATGCCTCAAACATTGCATGCATCATGCATACCTGCATATTTCACATTATTTTTTCTCTTTTTTATTACGTTCACATGTATCATAAAAAATGAGAACATTTCCATCCTATTCTCATGACCTACAAAGAGCTTTACCAATAACTTTTTGACACCCATGTAGTCTCACCATATCCGGTGGAACCCATGAAGCCATCATACCCCAAGTGGCATGATGAGAGTGCCCATTGCGAATATCACGACGGTGTCCCGGGGCACACTATTGAGAACTGCTACGCATTCAAGAGAATCGTGCAGAAGATGCGTAACAAGAATTGAATCGACTTCAACAACTCGGGGGGATCCAAATAAGGAAGAAGATCATTTCATTTCATTATTTGCAACATTATGGTTGAATTCGTTTTTGAACTTTCTCATATTTTGGTGTAATTTGTTTTTAAATTTTCCTTTTTATATGAACATTTAAATAAATTTATGCTACTTTAAAGATTGTAAGCAATGAATCAAATTTGTAGACTTGAAATTCTTTGAATATCAATCGAATTAAAAAACTCTGTAAATGATTGGAGTTATAGATCTTTGACAAAGTAGCAGGATTAAAAAAGGACTTTTGACCTGACTCAAGAAGACATACTCGAACATCATATCCTTCTTTTACAAGAACAGACATAGCCTTCTCATTTCATAAAGGAATGAACAAGAGGCATGATATTCAGTTAAGTATAGGAGCAGACAACATGAGACATCTTTTGCATATGACTTTACTATACTTTTTTTAGGGCTTTCAGTGATGGTTATGATCTTTACAGATGGAATAGTCGAGTAGGTGAATCTAATTCAGACCAATTGCTTGGAAATTGAACTCTAAAGATGAGATTTCTTGACTTTCAAAAACACCTAGACTATAACATGTTCTTCTTAACAAACTTAAGAAGTTGAATATGTATACCCAAATTATAATTATATATATATATATATACAATAAAACTTGAGCTGTCCCTCTAAAGCAATTAGTTAAACGCCTCGACTTTATGGATAAGATTCAGCTAGCCTGATAAAGGTGATTATTATAATACAATAAAGCTTGAGCTATCCCTCTAAATCAATTGGTTAAATTCCCTGGCTTTATAGATAAGAGTCAGCTAGCCTGATAAAGGTGATTATAATATTGAGTTGTCCCTCTAGAGCAATTGGTTAAACACCCCAGCTTTATGGATTCAGCTAGCCAGATAACGACAAATTAAGTCAAATTCATTTAAATAAGGAGTTTCGGTAAAGATAGACTAAGGGAGTTAAGGAACACCTGTTATAGTCAATTTCAGACGAGCACTCAGGAATTTCATTTTTAGACCGATATTTTCGCACTGCCTTTGCTAGAGGAGTCTGCAAAGCTTGAACAAATGAAGATTTCAGAGGACCGAAATAGAAGGTCTAGTAATTGATTATGCTAGTTGCTTCATTTTGTCCGCATCTGATTAAAATGCCAAGTCGAGAAAAAGGCATATTGCAATGACCAAAAAATGACATTTCTTGATGGCTGAAACCTTAGGAAATAGAAAGCATGTTGAGTTAATCGATTGAGGAAATAGCCAAGAGGGGGTGAATTGGAAATTAAAATTTTGGTAGAAGCTTTTGAAGAAAATAGAAAATATTTGCACAACGATTTAGAGTGGTTCAACTTTCTCAACCAAAGTCTACGTATACTACCTTAGGGAAAAAGTAGAAAATTGGGAAAAAGTTTAGGGAATTAAGTGATAATTTCCTAAAAAGAATTTTATTCCATAAATAGATGGTTTACTCTTGAGAGTGGAGTTTTATAGAAATCATATTTTTGGATTTGGAATTTTAGTAAAGAAAATCTAGAAAGGGTTAAAGTCCGATAAGGAATCGGTAATTCCGATCAAATTGGAATTTTATAAAAATTGGAAGGATGTTATAAAATAATTGGAAATATTATTTTAATATTTTGGATCAGAGAAATTTGGTTTGGAATTGTGAAATTTT